AGGAACGTTTATCCCAGGATGAGTGAGCATCATGGATGCCCCGCAAGACGATACACACTCTGGGCAGAATTAAATATGACGTAGAATGAATAATTTCACAGCTTGCAGAGAAACCAACACAGACTATACCACCAAATATATTTTTAATCATCAAGTGTTGGTTTGAATACGATTTTTTTGAAATTTCTAGTATTGTCCACTAGGTATGTGCCATTCTGGGCAAATAAATGATCGATGCATGATTGCTCATATACTACTTCTGAATGGCAAAAATGAAGCTTTCTTTTCGAGTGGCCATAGCAGAGGTATGCAGGAATGTGTGGATGTCACTGCAATTCCAATAGCTGACTTCATTTTGGTTTGGGACCACAAACCAATTGTGCCTGATTCATCCTTGTCTCTGCTACAGACAAAAGTGTGCTTTTACCTCATTTGCTTCAAGAAAGGATTAATCAACTACTGTATCAATTCAATACAACTGACAGAAGGTCAAATAATCAATTATTATGCCCATCTACAGGTTTAAGGTTTAGCATGTCTGCCAAATAATTGTGAATCATGATGTACGTATATCCAGTTCTGCAACTTTGAAGGACTTATAGAGCGACACTCATTTTTCCTGTTTGGATACATGAACTCGGAAAAACTATGACGACTTTTGTTTTGGTCTGCAACTGTGTGCCTCTGTTGTGTGTAGCGCTTGTGATATTTTGGACCATTATATTTGTCCATTTTCATGTTGGCTCAAGAATTGAAAAAGGTCAGGTATTAAATGGCATGTTTTTCCGAGTCTTTTCAAGCAGAAGCATAAATGGTTTGCAAGGAAAGATGGTGACAAAAGCATTTTAGCTCTGATTTGTCTCACTTCTCTTTTGAGCTCTTCCACTAAAATGAAAATGTAACCCGTACAGCGTTTTTCTTACGCTCGTTGGCTGTTTAAGTAATGACTCAATTTTAGAATTGGGAAAAATAAAATTCAAGAAGCTGTTTTATTAGTTGGTGCAGCTTGGCAAACACCACGTACAGGATGTAAAGTCCACCACTGGGTGTAAATCCGAGAGGGAGAGCTTGCCTGTCAAAAGACATGTACCATACCGTAATGGAACAACTGAGTGTCTGAGAGGTGGACAAGATTCACTGGCGATTCATACTCAAATATTAATCAGAGAGCCATCATCTGTCTGTTTGAAGAAAGAACTAAAAAGAAATTGTCTTCACATATCTGCTCCCAGAGGACTAGTTGAAGTGGAAGCATTCACTGAAGAAAAGATGCATTCGACCTGCCCCTGCACCCATATGCATTGTCGAGGAGGCACATGAATGCTGATTCCTACACATTTTCAGCTTCAAAAAGAAATGATGAAATCAAACGAAACCACCGATGGCCTAATTGTTGGTGGCTTATGAGCGTATAAGACAACAAAGTCAGTACACATCTGTTTAAAGAAACAGAGTATAGATGGGGCACATAAACCGAACACTGCATTACTTCTGTTTCAAGTTATAATGAGTCTGATTCGGCTCTTGTCTTAAGTGGAACATGCTTATACAAAAACCAACAACTTTATGGTGTTATTTCAGACTCAGCTTGTTTACCTGACAATCACGTTGTAAAACATTAAATCATTCATCCAGCAAAAATCATGAACTGAACTTTTACGAGAAACGTGTTATGCAATAATTAGGTAGTCGCATAAGTGTTCCTTCAAACCATGAAGTTTAAAGCACGGTAAAGCACTACTACAATGTAAAAACTAAATATTCAGCATTTTAACTTTGATGACACCTGACTAAGCCTGTAGCGAGGCTATAGTCTAACTGATCTGAATGTGAGCCTCTGTACTTCATTGACCGTATTTTCCGCACTGGAAGGCGCACCTAAAAGCATTCAAAAACCGTGCGCCTTATAATCCGATGTGCCTTATACTCAATCATCAATACCCTTACATCAATATTCTGATTTCTTGGCATACTATTTTAAATGTTCTGTAAAGTGCTTTGTTACAGTTGCAGTGATTGTGAAACCGCTATGTAAATAAAGATGTTTTGTAATGTATTGTATTCCCTTCAGCATAGCTCCATCTAGTGGATGCATAACACAATCCTTTCCACTATTGTAACTTCTATTATTCCTTATAAAAGTGCGCCCTATATATGAAACCAGCTTTAAAATAGGCCATTCATTGAAGGTGCGCCTAACACTCCGGAGCGCCTTATAGTCCGGAAAATACGGTACTTTTGAATGAGTCTGTCGATAGTTTACCCGTAACCTCATGCACCTCTGGAGATGGCAGTGGCCACCTTGCTGGAGATCTGTGCATTGTTTTGTTCATGTGCTTTATGAATATTTGAATGGGTTCATTTGATAATGAAAGTCAAAAAACGGTGAATTACAATGCAGTGTTTAGCTGTAACAATACAGGTGGCTGGGAGACATATCACTGTTTACCAATTTTGAATCTCATCTTTTTGATCTGGACCTCCAATGCGGCCGAAAATCAAATGTTGATCTCATGATGAAATACCGTCGATTCTGTATCTTCTTCTCTTACCACCCTTTGTTGAGGCCGATCCATCTTTTTTAACCCAAGTGTCTCAAAAAGGCAAAACACGCAGAGTTGAGAGTTTCCTAATGTATTGTCAACCTCTAGTCTGGCTACTGGGTGTGTCCACATCTGGCATTTAAAACCTGCACTATGAAAGAAAAAAAAAAAAACTAATTTTGCATTATAGTTCTGAACATTCCTAGATTTCACATTACTTCATCTCACAAATGTCATCGATGGCGCAGCCTGAAATAAATTCTTAAGCTAATCAGATTGGGACCCAGAGTTACCTGCTCTGAAAGACAGACCGAATGTTCAGAATGTTTTTTTTTTCTTTACACTCAATTCTCACTGCCTTACCACTACGACTAGACCGACGTGTTTTTTATTCCAACCCCATTTTCAATGAAGTTTGAGCGTTTTGCTCAACATAAATAAACAACAATACAGTGATTTGCAAGTCATGTTCAACCTATATTTACTTGAATATACTGCAAAGACAAGATATTTAATGTTCAAACTGATTAACTTGAGTGTTTTTAGAAAATAATCATTAACTTAGACTTGTATGGCTGCAACGTGCTCCAAAAAGCTGAGCTAGGGTCATGTTGAACACGGTGTTACATCACCTTTTCTAATTGTTGAATCTTTGTCCCTGTAAAAGATGTTGCTTGGATGGCAGCATATGTTTCTTCAAAACCTGTATGTACCATTCAGCATTGGCAGTAACACAGCCCCATACCATCACAGATACTGGACTTTGAACTTTGCGTCCATAACAATCTGGATGGTTTTTTTTCCTCTTTGGCTCAGAGGACACGGCGTCCACAATTTACAAAAACAATTTGAAATGTGTACTCGTCAGACCACAGAACAATTTTCCATTTTGCATCAGTCCTTCTTTGATGAGCTTGGTCCCGGAGAAGCCGGCGGCGTTTCTGGGTGTTGTTGATAAATGGCTTTTGCTCTGCATTGTACAGTTCTACTTAGAGATGCAGCGCCCGACTGTATTTTCTGACATTGGTTTTATAAACTGTTTCGAAGCCCATATGGTGATATCCTTGACACTTTAATGTCGATTTTTGATGCAGTGCCGCCTGAGGGATCGAAGGTCACGGGCATTCAATGTTGTTTTTCGGCCTTGCCGCTGACATGCAGTGATTTTTCCAGTTCTCCACAGACTGTTCGATGATATTATGTCCCGTCGGTGATGAAATCCCTAAATTGTTTCCGATTGTACGTTGAGAAACATTGTCCTGAAACTGTTCGACTATTTTCTCACGCAGTTGTTCACAAAGAGATGAACCTCACCCCATTTTTGTTTATATATGGCTGAGCAATTCAGGGAAGCTCCTTTTATCCCCAATCATGGCACCCACCTGTTCCCAGTTAGGCTGTTCTCCTGTGGGATGTTCCAAACAGGTGTTTGATGAGCATTTCTTAACTTTCTCAGTCTTGTTTGCCACCTGTCCCAGCTTTTTGGAACTTGTTGCAGCCATAAAATTCCAAGTTAATGATGATTTTCTCAAAACAATAAAGTTTATCAGTTTGAACAAAAAACATCTTGTCTTTGTAATATATTTAATTAAAGGTATGTAATATGATTCATAAATCATTCCATTCCGTTTTTATTTATGTTAAACACAATGTCCCAACTTCACTGGAATTCGGTTTGTACATAATATATGGCATTCGTCTTTGGCAAAGTGTCCGTTGCATGCACCAAATGCACAAACCTGCACACTTACTGACACGTGTAATTTGGCAGCTTGGTGATGAAGTGCTGCCTCCACGAGTGAAAACACAATCCATGCACTGTCATTATAGGTGCTCGCTTTTGACTTCGAACTTGGGGCTGTGCCTTGAGCACAAACAGCCACTAGCAAGCCCGTTGATCTGCCCTTGGTCGTCATGGTAACACTAAGCTGCCCTGCAGTAGAGGGATGCCGGGTTAGCTGTGGCTCATTTGCATGGGACTTGACAACTCCTTAAAATAGGCTAATTTTAATCGGTATGTAAATATAAGCTTCAAAGTGTGATCAAATTATTGATCCTTGGGGTAGTTTGACAAAAGCATGACACAGGTTCTTCTAATTTTTAGAGCGGGGGTGGGGGGGATCCTCTATCACCTGTCTAACAGGCACCTGTAAACTTGTGCCACTCACCCCTCAGAGAGATAGGCATTAACTTAAACACACGAGGCATGCAGTATGATTGACATTTTCACTCAGTATGGAGTTTCCAAGCTTATTTCGTATTTACATGACTGAGACACCTGTGGTACAGGAAGTCTTGAGCATGTGGAGGTTGCATCTTACCAATGAGATGCTGACCTTTTTGTCCTTGCATGATCTTCTATTTTTTTTTTCTTTTCCACGTTACGTCTCCATTCTGTTAATAATACATGAATGTCCTCTTTCCCCCCCTTTCCCTCCCCCCTCTCCTCCCCTGTAGCAATTATTGAACCCACCACCACTAGTGCTGTCTCAAGGCCAGGTCAGTATATGTCACCGTGCTGTACACCAAATTAGCAAAGAGGTCTGCTGCCTCCTACTAACCAGAACCGATATCGTCTCCATCTTATTTAAAATGGCTGGCCGCAATGCCTGCTCGGTGTACAGTACAGCTTTGTTGTATGTCCCTTATGTCTTATAGTTGCTTTTTTTTTTTTCTTTGACTTATAATTTTGGGTTGGCTTCGACAGCCTGGCTCCATAGCCTGGAACCATCTCCACACAGTGTCCCTTCCATCACAATGTTGCCTCCGCCTCCTCCTCCTCACTTCCGCACATGAAGTAAATGGTAGCATCATCAAAGTGGCTGTTACATATGCCTCTGGGCCAGATGCTTTTCATAATGCTGATGGCTCCGTCTTCTCTCTGGCTTTCCCACGACCGGCAGCACCACTCCCTTCTCTTCTTAGCGCTAGTTCATCGTAGCAAACATCAAAGGCAGGATGCTGATGGTGGCAAAGGCTCTCGGTTTGTTGTTTGGAAGATGGAATCTCTTCCCTCTTTGTATTTCTCCTTCGTTTATCCCTCTCTCTTTCTGGGGCTTAATCCTTTAACATCCCTCTCCCTTCTTTTTCTGTTTCTATCTCTTTATACAACAACCATGTGGTGTTGTGGCCACCCTGATCTGATTGCGTTGTTGTTGGTGGTGGTGGTGGTGCACTGTCAATGTCACCCTCATCACTGTGCTCTCCCATATATCCGTCCAGAATAATCCCCGCCGTCTGTTCCTCTTTTCTCCTTCTCTAATGGATTTAAGGCTCCATAATGTAATCTTTTTGCTGCTTATTTTAGCTTATTACCGTCCACATGCACAAACGTTGAGGAAAGCATGCACGGTTGACGTTAGCTATGGATGATATCACAGAAGAAGCGCTGCGGTTAGGAAAAGTTCAATTCATGTTATCTGTGTGCTCTTACAAGACCAAGTGAAGTAATTCAAAGTGAGCAATGTTTATTTGCAGACCACCAGCGCCTCTAGCCAATGGGGGCGCTTCTCAGTGCCTCAAGCACATGGCGCGCTCCATACAAATACAAAACATCAAAACAAATATAACTTAGCAAGTCCTGTAAACTTCAATATGAGTATAACTATCATGGAAAATCGAAAGTGAAGCACAATCTGTTTCCATAATTTTAACAATAATCCATATTAAGAGATTACGAACCTAACCCCATTTTTGCTGTGCAGCCACTGTTTTAAGAAACAAGATACGACTCATTCATAAAAATTAGTACAAGTCAAACTAAGTGAACAATATAAATAGTAAAACAATAGGTCTGAATGCCCTTAACTTCGAAGATCAGCAATGGATTCCGTTATGGACTAAATTATGTTATTTTAGCTCTTCTATTGTGACTGTCAAACAAAGTTTACCTAACCCATATTGTACTGACCAGCCATGGCGTCTGCACCACATTCTTACAGCGTTTTTACTTGTTTGTGACTTTATTTTTTCCTCTATGCTATAACTAGTGTCCTTCTGTGGTGGCTTCAGCAATACACAAAGAATTATCAATTGCAAAGTGAAAAAAAACAAACAAAAAAAAAAAAACTCCTGAAATATTAAACATTCAACTTCTACTACACTTCTACACATCACGTCATGCGAAGATTCATATTGCATGATGGACGCGCGGAGTGTTTTTGTGGATTTTTGTGCAGCCTCATGAATAGATAGCATCGTTCTGTCCTTCACCGTGCGGAGAGGCTGTCTGGGATAAGCATGAACTCACCTGCCTGTTCTTTCAGTCCCAAATATAATTACCCATGGAGATTCTGTCCGATAAGTTAAAATAAACTCAGTGCCTAGTAGCAGACTCGGCGTGACCCCCATCTCTCATTTGATGTAATGCCGGCAGAACAAATGACAATTTCATGGTTCAAAGGAACACCAATGGAGATCAACTAGTGCAGAAACCCGCTGTTCTTGTTTAGTCCTGACTTTTCGAAATTGAAAGTTGCCCTGCTGAAATGACTTCAAAATTGGAATCATTATGGATACCAGCAAATAGTTTTCTTTCCACTTGTTTATCATCCGCTCATGCTTCTCCTGTAAAAAGTTACGGGGATATGATATATCATTTTTGTCTACAAGGAAAACAACTGATGAGCTTGAAGCATTTTTCATCAGAGAGTGTTTGTTTTAGCCTACTGACCAAATACAAATAAATAGATACATTTTTGAAAATGTCCATTGTATATTTTACTAGACCTCAACTAAAAACAGACTGCAACTTTTTATATTTACTTTCTGGATCCTCTGGAAGATGACACGAGTTTAACGTGAAATAATTTCCCCCAAAAATTGACATGTTTTACAACAACCAAACTCGTTTATGCAAATAAGAAAGTTCAGTTTTACCTACACTAACAGCACTGTTGAGCTTGTCGCATTGCAAACACCCAAAAGTACAGTTTGGAAACCCCTGCCCCACTCAACATTCACAGCAAATGAAGTCTCACTTAAAATACACTGGGCACACAGCAATGAGAGGAGAAACGTTTTTTTTTTTTTTTGGGGGGGTGGGGGGGGTCCATACAAAACTTCCCATGTGTGCAACAGGATTTGGAAAATCTCTTCAAAAGCCCATGGTGGGCAGAGAATTGACTTGGCATTGTCGCCGTGGAGAGGCGGCTTTTGGAGCCGAACATTCAGTTGCAAGCTTTGCGTTTGGGCTGGAAGTGGACGGTGTGGAGGCAATAGCAGAGAGCAGGGTGACAGATAAGATGAATACCTTCCTCACTGACTCCCTCCCACCCACACTGTGACCAACTGTGACAGATGGTGAGCACGTTCATCCACCAGCGCATTCCACCTAAGAGCAAGCTGGGAACGCTTCAGGCGTCCACTCGTGTCACCGGCCATCATAATTCCTCCACGGCAAGCGTGACCGGAGCGTAAGCCAGCTGTGACCCATCCACCCCAGCCAAGCCGCTCTCTCATGGCAATGTCAAATTAAGTGTGCTCAGCATTGCTTTTGCAACTTCGACATTCAGTGTTGGTTATTACTCGGTCTATGTCTGTTCAACTACGCTCTGCTTTATGGCCAAAATGACTGGACCCTTTATCATTGGTGTTTTTTTTAACGGTAATTAAAAAAACAAAAAAAAAAAAATGAATGAAACAATTTGTATGACACATTATTAGGCTTTTACAGGATCAGGATTTTGGAGCCGATCATGGATAAGAGAGTTAAAAAAAAAAACAACCACCACCACCGATCTGATCAGAAGATGGAACAATCTATCGAATATACACAACTTGTGGGACCGGACCGGACTGGCCCAAGAATATCCGAAATTTGTTTAAAGATGAAGCCCAATGAATTACATTGGGAAAAAAATTATAATAACAATTAAATCTTAAAAAAAAATCTCCCAAAAATGCTCAAAAACATCCCATACACAGAAAATGGGAGGGGATGGGTTGGGCGATGTGCACCATAATACCGCCCCCACCCTCCCCAAGTATTACAACACCGTGAAAAAAAAAAAAAATTAAAAAAAAATCCGTATATTCTGATAAATCTTGGATTATTAAGTATGACAGGCCGGAATTTCCTCGAGTGAATGGCATTGTGTTGCTTGCACTAATGTCTTATTTTGTGGATCGCATCAATTATGTTATTGATCAATTGACATATATATATATCCTCCTGACTACCAGTAGTTCAAATTTGTCCTCTGTAGAGGACATTTGTGAACCTAAATATCTCCCACCCAGTGCCTCCAATCGCATTAACTCCTTTTGTTACTCTAAAGAGGACATTCAGTGCTTTCCAGTGATACCAAATTTGTAGGGGTTAGAAAAAGTATGAAAATGGCTTCCCTCAGTGCAAGCACTTTTTATGGGAAGAGGAAAAGTAATACCTTTTATCGACCACATTTTGTCTTGAAATGCTGTTGGCATTTTAATTATAAGACTCTTATGAACACGTTAAAGTGTTGTTTGAGTTTATATATATATATATATATATACACACACACACACACTGTATATAAACTGGCATGTGTTGAGGCTTTATATCCACTGTACCTTTGAAGGTTCTGATGTTCTTAAACTTGTTTTATCTTCAGCATGTGTATTTTGCCTGCATTCAGCTCAACATAATACACAGTGGCCCGAAGCAGCTGGCTTGCTGCTTGCTCCCCTGTCATCCCAATGAAATGTAGATGTGTGATAATAGCATCTATTCCCAGAGGCTGTAACTTGTCTTTATTTCTGCAAATCACTTGACAGAAGAAAAACTATATTCTTAGCACTGTACTAAGGCACGTTTAAGTCAAGTATACTTTTGGTTCAAAGAACACTAAATGCATTTTCATAATGTGTGTAGCTCCAATTCCTGAGTGTTTATTCCAACTTAAAAAAAAAAAAAAAAAAAAAAAAAAACATCCAGGCTGAATGTGGTGGGATGAAGATAAGACTCAAACCTTTGCTCCAAGAGATTGTAAATGAGGAGTTAAGGAAAACCTTCTCTTATGAATGCTGTAGCCCTTCGGTAAAAACATTCCGAAATGCACCCAAACTTTGAGTAGAGGCCCCTCTCAACTCGTGATGCGAGCTTTAGGCATTGCTGCTTGTCAAATCAGCAATAGTATAATCACAAGGAGACGTAAAAGTAGCCCGCAGAGTAATAACGTTCTTGTTTGTGCTGCTGTTGTTGTAATAATTGCAATGATTGCAATTTTTAAGATAACAAATACAGTGGAATCAAACAATATGAACAATACAAACAATTCAAATGCAAGCAAAATTTGGCAGACAAAGTAATTTAAAAAATTGGAATTTGAACCAATGACTATGTTTGGATATCGTCAAATAACCCTTTCAAAATCCGAATATTGGCAGTATTTGTGCTTTGTGCAGGCCAGATATGTGCTCACAAAAACCCGAATATGCTCGTATTCAGGTTTTTAAAAACCCAATTGCACTTGGTTTACCTCCCTTGAACGGGCAATTGGTTTGTGTTCTGCGCAAAA